ACATATTTCACACTCAACGCACCGTGCTCCAAAACACTCCTGCCCATCCCGGCCCACTTCCAGCTCCGGGACCAGCGGTGGTTCCCTCCCTCCCTCCCTCCCTGTCCATCTTTGAACCATTCCTCACCTCTGTGGCAGGGCACTGACAAGCCTGCTGCTCAGATAAGATCCATGACTACACTCATGGGAGAATTTAATAGAAAAAGGTTGTGTAGTAAAAACAGAAGGCAAAAGTGAGCAATCCTTGTTCACAAATCATGTTGTTATGGCAGCAAACTATTTGAGGATGTCTGACACACAGAATGCCATGTTCACACTGGTGGGGCACCGCCGGGTTGAGTCCTATTGCGATGACAAGGGATTCCCACAGTAGTGACAGGGGCAGATTAGGGGGAGGCGCCACACGCAGTCTCAAGGTGAAGCCAGTGCTAGCTGTCAAAATTGCAAGCGAGCGGAGCCAAGAGCACAGGTTGGGCGTCCGGGGTGGACTGTGGAGTGAGGAGCAGGCAGATGGAGCTGCTCCGTAGGGCACAAAGCACAGGACTGGGGGTGAAGCCTCGGAAACCTGGACGGATACTCTCCTTGTGTACGAGGACGCTGGCAGGGGTTCAATGTCATCTGAATATTAATTACACTTCATAGTGATGTCTACTTATCAGTCCTTTTCATCACATAGTCCCATGAATCTGGTGATAATCTTTAATGCATTAAATGTAGAAAAAGTCCGGTGAACAGGCAAAAAATAACAATAAATTGATCCTGCTGACAAGTAGTGTATGTTTATTTATTTGGGCCCGAGCACGGAGCGCTAGTTTGTTTTATTTTTTTCCTTGCAGATAGATTTCCAGATATTTTGGAAATCATATAACTTATTTTTCTTTTTATAAATGAAGGTTTGTATGTGCTTTTTTTTTAAAGTCTTGTGCCTCTTGATAATTGTTGACAATTTTAATATCTAATAATGATATTTTGGAAAAAATATATATTCATTACAAATAGCCATGACATGAAAACACTTATTTTTATAAGAATACTTAAAATCTGGTTGTTCAAGTATTGTGAATGGGATATTTTACAGTTAAAACATAAACTGTGTAAAAATCAATGGTTGGCAACAGTTTGAACGTTTGTGTATTACAATATCTTATCACTACATGTTACCATCTGCAACATGCCAGAATTACATGTAAAATAGCATTAATTTGTTAGTCAAGTTCTAATTAAGTTAACTAGCTCTAAGGTTATACAATTAAGCAACATTTTTCTACAAATTAGACTTTTTGTGCTAAATAAACATAAAAATATATAATTTTGGTATCCTGTCAGCGCAAACAACACACAGACCTGTATAAGTCCAACTGTATTGATTATTTGGCCCAGAAGATCATGACACACACTTCATCCAACCTCTGCTTCTTCCTCATACTTTAGCATGCTTGCAATATCCACCACCATTAATAACAAGGAAATGCAAACAGCCTATATTAAAAAGGCACCTTCCCTGATTACCTGCTTCTTCTTACAAGGCACCTGCCATAAATCAAGACACATGCTGTTAATGGTATTCTCTCTGCCTCATCTCCGAGCACTTTATTTCCATAGCCGACAGTAGCATCATTATTATACATGCAAGATCTCTATTGGAATACAGTTTGGCTAATGAGCACCTCTTAGTTGATCACATTAGACCTCCACTTGAGGACACTTAATTACCAGTGTTGCACTCTGTCGAGGGGACAGAGGAAGTCCTTTAATTAAGGGCGCTGCATTCTACCTATGTTTGTACAGGCCTGCGTCCTTGGGATATAGGATGTATTAAAAAAACGGACACATGCAATTGTGGCTGGAAGATACTGTGTGTGCGCATGTGTGTTACATATGTTTGTGTGTGCATGTGGGTGTTTATTTTTTCCCCCGTCTCCGTGTTGGTGAATGCATCCGTGTGTGTATTTGTCTGTGTGTGTGTATAATGTGATGGGTGTTTGAAGTGTGTCTCCCGAGTCTCGCTGGTTTATAGTGTTTACAATATACACACACACACACACACACACACACACACACACGCACACACTGAGGCTTCCTGCATCGTGAGGCTCTCGACTGTCTCCAAGCATTTCATGTTCAGGCTGGGACTCTGGCATCATAAGAACTGGCCCAGTCCACAGAAAGATGACTGTTTTCTCCCTCTCTCTCTCATTACATTCCTCTCTCTTTAATTTTCTCTCTTGCTCTGTCTCACTCTCACCGTTTCTCTCTCAAAGAGGCTGAGGCTAGCAGTCAGGAAATGCACATCAGTCATAATACTTTCCTAAAATGAAAACAGATTCCGCTGCAGTCTCATTCACTCCTTCCTCGGCTAAAAACATTCCTCTGTTTCTCCTCTCGTCCTCCACCCTTCCCTCCTCCGTCACCACTTTAAATTAGCACACCAGCTCAGATCTTTTCTCACACTTAACAAGGGTCTTGTTTTCTTTCTGCCACAGATGGATGATCAGCAGCGACACAAGGTAGTTGTTTAGTGGGTTGTGCGATGGCAGCGATCTCAAGTATGTGACACCGGCCTCACAGAGCACATGACACTAACCTGCTGCATCCTCATAAAGTCCCACAGTATGTGTAGTTATACTTTGTAAAGGCATTTTTTATTGATGCGGGTTGCAAAGGCAGACGGTTAAACTGCGAGGGACGAGGTTATTGCATGTAGGAATGCTGTTTAACAGGCTGTCATACCAGAGCACTCGCCAGTTAGCCATGAGATCTTTTTGTAAGAAGATAGCCAACATGACCTGGAGAAAAAGGTTAGGACATGTCAACCTTAGAGATTTCATTCTTTAGTTATGCATTCAACTGATGAATATTATAATTAGCAAGTTTTTTCGGTGTGTAGAATATCAGAAGAACTGAAGAAATTCCCTCTAGTTTCCTATACACAAAGGTTACATCCTCAAGTTGCTTAAATGCATATCAATTAATCAAATAAGTGTTTCTGCACCAAATTATAAGTGGTGATATGCAACCAGAAAACAACTAAAGCAATAAATCCTATAACATACACATTATGCTGGATCAATACTCCCACCTGCATTTAAGATAACAACACTTCAGCCTTCACTTCTTAACTCATGTAGCTCAAGTATGTCATTTTCAACATCAGGATGCAATCTGCATCCCTCAGTCTGTCTCTTTGTCTCAGTCCCACCCTCTAACCAGGACACTTGGAGTGTCATTAGTGCTTTGTTCGCTCTTGGACTTCCCTGTAGGAGCCCTGCCAGAGAGCAACCGCTGTGGCACTAGCCAGTCATAAATATTCTCAACAAGCCAGCTGATGGATGATCTCTTTCTCCCTCGGTTTGAAAGGGATGTTCGCAGGGCCAGCACGACGGCAACAACGCCAGGGTGAGTGAATGAAAGCTTGTTCCACGAGGAGAATCACCTCGACTGAGACGTTGACAGAGGTGTAATCGCTGTTTTCAAGTGCAACATGTCAGACTGAGAGAATTTAAGAGGGCTGATACTGGAGCGCTGTTACGTTTATTTCAGCGTCAGTGCACAGAAATTGAAACAAGATGCTTTTGAATAGCAAAATATACTATTTTGAGTCCATCACAAAAACTACTGAAATACAAAAGAAGGAATAACTGCTGGTAGTTTGTTTGTTTGAAAGCTGTGATGACTACAACGTTTCCTTTTGTCCTTTAAAACAACTATCAACTATTTTACCATGTGACACGTTTTACCTCGTTTTTTTTAGTGCTGTTGCTGGCAGACAACCTGCATGATCACCTAAAAAGCCCTCAGGACCCCTATGTTGTTGTGGTTCTCAGCAGCCTGTGCCTGAGCTCAGTCTACCGCATGCCTTTCCACTTGGCTGCCTGTTGTAGTAGGACAGTTAACTCGCTGATTGCAGGATGAAAACTGTGAAAGCACACTGCTCAATCTCCTCCACCCGCAAAACCAGTGACTACTGCAAAAACGATACTGCCTGTGGAGTCCTAAAAAAAACACCTTTTTCAGATAAAGTGTGAAAGTGTTGTTTCCACTGTGTGCTTGTTATATGCTACTGCCTGTCAACATCTTATTAACCTTCCTCTGGGAGACATTATTATCACCACAATTTGTATATGGCTTTTGTGCATGCAATGTTCTGTGTATATAATCACAGAACATTGTCACTAATCTTCCCAAACCTGGTGAGCCATTACTGTAGATCATCACATCAAACTATTTTTCCTGAAAACCTTTTTATCATTCTCTGGCTTGAGAAATATTTGACACAGGCAGCTGAACGCCTTCTCTCCAAGTTAGTTGCTTGGCAATGCAACAGAGTTCCTGCTAGATTTCCAGTGAAATGATTATTTATAAAAATGTATAAAGAGGAGCAGGATAAAGGCCAGATCAAACTGTGCTCTTGATGGTGAAAAATGAGTGTTAATCTATTGTTTATCTGCTCAACCCATGCCAGTACTGTAAAAGTATGCCAAAATTAGTGGTCCATTTGTTTTGGTAGCATTTAAAATTGTTATTTTAAGCATTATGTGGGACGTTTTTGGTTTGAATCACATAATAAAGTGTTGGTATTTTTTTTAAACCATGTTGATATGAGCCTCTGGGCTGAGATGTGTTATTATAACAGTCCTAGAGGTGCAATATGGTGCTTTTTCTCGGACCATTAACCCGTGTTAATGATTACCGTATAACAACACCAGAACGGTTCACCTTTGTACAGCAGACACACATGTAAGCGTGCCTCCCACGGTCTTATGACTTGTCAATCACAACTGGCTGGGTGTGTGTGTGTGTGTGTGTGTGTGTGTGTGTGTGTGTGTGTGTGTGTGTGTGTGTGTGTGTGTGTGTGTGTGTGTGTGTGTGTGTGTGTGTGTGTGTGTGTGTGTGTGTGTGTGTGTGTGTGTGTGTGTGTGTGTGTGTGTGTGTGTGTGTGTGTGTGTGTGTGTGTGTGTGTGTGTGTGTGTGACATGCATGATTTATTATGGATACCGTACCAGAGAGAAAATGTTGGAGTGGCAGTCCTCAAGGCTTGCCCCGTTAGCCACCCAATTCGCTGTTGTAGTCATAATCGTCCGCCGTTGGGGTCGTCAGCGCTGGGCATGTCGAAATCCTACATCGGTATCAAACACCGAGCAGGGCTGACAAATAGGTTCCCGTAGTCTGCCGAAACAAGCAGGCTTAACACCTCACAAGAGGTCCAGATAATAGACTCGGGATGGTCGGGCAGAGGAATGGGCGTATTCAAAAAGAAGTGCAGAATGCATCCATGAAACCCCAGCAGATATAATGTTGTAATGTAAATCCAAGCGTGTGCGGGAATCAAAACATTGTTACAAACCAGGTCAGGCGATTCCAAATTTGATCATTGTCAAAGGCGGAGAGCACAGCAATGTATCCATTTCAATCCACACACAGAGGAAGATCAGGCTGTTTCCATATCAGCCTTTCCGCTAATAGTTTCATCATTAAATGAGCATAATCCATGGGGAAACGATTCCTTTTTTTCTTCCGCGCCGAGGAACAACCACCAAAAATGCGAAATGAAGAGTCCAAACTTCTTGTTAAAAATACCACACGTTCTCCGAAAACAATTAACTTAAAGCCGAGACATTACAGGCAGGATATCGGATTCCGTCTGCTCCACACGCTGATGCACCACTTGTGATAGTTTTCGAGAATTGCATGAGCTATTTATAGCCTTCTTTCTTACCACAACCGTTCCTCTCACAATGTAGCTCAGTCTGCCTCGCACAAACAGGCGAGCAGCAGGAATGTTTAATCCCTCTGTTGCTCTTCAATTAAACGTACCGCAGACGAGGGGTCGCTGGGGAAGAAAAGCCCCCGGTGCTCCTCCGTGGCAAGGCGGACAAAGTCGAGCGGGTTCCCGTGTAACCCCCCGAATCATGAGTCAAAGCGTTCAGACAAGAAAAACTATTCTTACTCTCCACCACCAGGAAAACGACAAGCAGGCTTCTGTAGACCGAGGTTTGAAGAAGAAAAAAAAACCTTCCTTCCTTTCAGTTTTAAATCATTACGAAACGTCCTCGCGCGGCCACAACAGCCTCAGTCTTGCAGACAAAAATGTTGGTTTTTTTTCACAGTTCAAGCCAAAGTGACAGTCCTTGTCTGGCGCCGATCGTTGACATAATGTTGCATGCTGCAGATATTTTCTTCATAAACCACCGCGATATTTAAAAAAGCGAATCCTCATCCTTCTTCTTCGGGGAAATGGTGATTTGATTATTGAATTAAATCCTCAAACATGTGCAGGGTTTTTCAGCGGAGACTGCTTCCTCGTTGTTGATCTCTTGGAGCGTGTTATTGAAATGGTAAATACGTGTGGCTCGTGTGTGTCATCCTCACCCTCTGTGTGTGTTTGCTTTACGCGTAGCGCCGCTGGAGCATTTCTTTTCTTTCCGCGCACGATCGTCCAGCCCACCACGCATTGTAATGTAATGGCGGTCGGAAGCGTATACTACCGAGACTCGCCTTCCCATTTGGCCAAGTTTGTGCTCACGTGATCACCAAAGTCTGGGATTACAGCACTGTTTAGGATCTCTGATGTGAGACTGGATGCGACGCTGGAGAGGATGTGCTGACAGTCAGCAGTTCCTCGACTGTTTCACTCTTTGTTGTTAGGTTTCTGCCTGTCTGTTTATTCAAAGTGATTGAAGAAAGGTTATTGTATATGGAGATGTTTGCTGTGTGATGCATTGGTTATGTAGAGATCTCACAACAGAGGATGTGACAGAATAGAGGTCAGAATGACTTACTGACAGGGGTGTAAAGTAACTACGTAGATTTACTCAAGTAGCCTACTGTACTTAAGTACAATTTTGAGTATTTCAAAATGTAGCTGCTTTCTACTTCTACTCCACTATAATTCAGAGGTAAATCGTGTTTTACTCCTATACCTTTATTTACTTTGCAGATTTTGATTAATGATGTGAAATATGATCACCACTTAAATAAGACTTTAGAGTATTATGGAGTATATTTCACAAGCTATCCAGCAGTATGCAAGGTCATTAATGAACATCCCCCCCCCCCCCCCCCATCTCTACCCCCATGACACCAATAAATATGTATTTTGGTCACATGTAGTTTTATTTGTTATTTGGTCAGTTGTATTTGAATCTGTCCTTATCAATGTTTTCCTATTGACAAATAAAATAAATTACAATTTCCACTGTAAAATGCATTGTTCATATTAACAGCCCAACAGAGAATTAAGAGAATTAGTTTCCCTCAGCTTTATGGAGCATATTGCATGTTCAGTTCATAGGCTTTTTGCTTTTATATCACCAGATAACAGTGTTCTTTCCAAAAATGTAAAAATAAATTACAGGCTATAAAAGGAACCATAAAAGTTATGTTGCAGCATTAACATTTTGGTGGAGGAATATGAACTCTTAATTCATTTAGTTGGCCTTAATGAAGAAATATATACATTTACTGAGTCACTTCAAGGTTGCTAAACATCCCAAAAAATTTCAGAAATAACAGTGGGACTTAAACACCAATGGCATGTGGTGCTGATTATATCATAACTGTATTTGTATCCGTCCTACTATCCAGTCATGTGTGATGCATTGTCATATTTATGTAGACATATTGTTGGAGGATTTGTTTAAACTATAAAATCTTTAGGTCTTCTCTCAGTTCTCCAATATTGCAGGTGGAGCCCTTTGAGGATGAAGAACAAAAGATTATTAATACAACTCCTGTTTCCTGAGGTAGACAGAAGAGGCCATCCAGGAGTCAGTGCATGAAATATTTGTGCTGTTATCAATTATTTATTTTATCATAAATATGTGCTACATATGGTTGGGTTTCTCCTTACGTTTGGACTACAAATGTAACTGGATTTGCTGGTTTTGGCTTCAAACTGCATGTCTTTAAATGTGTTCACATCATTTTCTTTTGACCAATTAGGGAATGTATTTGGTAGACAGGTTCTTCTCAATATATGAATATTAAAATATGTTAAATTAACAGTGGTTTGTCAATGGCTGCAGACCTTTGCACATGGATCCCCCTAGAGGTCTTTAAAATTGTTAAAGGTCCCATGTCATGGCCATTTCCACTGATCATAATTCCATTGTTGAGGTCTACTAGAATATATTTATACTGTGCAATTTTCCAAACTCACATTGGGTTTTCATTCAGGGTCATAAAGGATTTTCCTTAAATGCCCCCACTCTTTGATAATTATCTTAATCTTTATGCTAATATCAAGCTTCATGGATCTATTTTAATGTCAGTGTGACTGCATGAACACACAGTTGAGCCTATATGACATTATGTTAAACACTCAGTTAGTGAACCTACAAACAGTGACAGGAGAAGTTGATTTACCTTGCCAGGTTTTCCACTGAGCATTATCATATAAAGGAGACAGCTATTTTTTAAGCAAGAGCCATCTTAGCCAGGTATGACACAGAATGTAAATGTTGCAGCATGGGGAGTTTCACATTTTCTCACAGAGACATTTGAACATCAACCCACCATCATGTGATGTGTATACACGGATGCATAGTGGCAGTAGGTTGATTTCTGTTTTATAATTTATAGGATGTGCAGGCTGCATTTCTCCTAAGTGTAAATCTAACAGAGCTATTTATAGACATCTGATATTATTTTAGCTGCCATACAGTACATCTCTAGAGAAGATCATCATATACTGACATATCCAATCCACTCTGAAATAAGAACAATTCTGACATTAATCACTTCATACAGCTTTATGTATTTGAGGAAACAGCTTGCAGCTGGTACATATCGCCAGAGAATGGGAGCATTTAGTCCAGTGATTCCTCTTATATCTGAAAGGCAGGGAGGGGAAGATATGAATCAGATGGATGAGCGAGGGCTTAGCCTGGCAGTTATTGATCCATTTGCTCCAGGAATGATCCAGAACTCATTTAGAGACTTTTTTTCCTTCCTTTTGTTCAATACATTCTCAAAGGCTTTCAAAAGACTCTCGCACACATTTGGGCTCACTTGGTGCGGAGCTGATAGCCAATAGATGCTATCAGTTTGAATACATCTATTTCAATATGTCACAATTCTTCTCATCAGGCCCCCACTGACTGAACTGTGTGTGAAGAGAAAAGATGCATTACTGTTGTGATTAGAGATAATGTGTTTGTCTCTAGACCATGTGTTTAGTCTTGTTTAGGATAAAGTGGATGCGTATTTGTGTGTTTATCTAATGTTTGGCTCTGTAAAAGTATGTGTGGGTCTTTTATTTATTCTTCCGTAAACTGACAAGATGCGGTAAATACACTCGTGAATTAATGCAGATGTGTATGCAGGTGGCACAAGTCTTTTTACAGCATGTGACATTTGTTATTTACTCTTTACTTGTTTTAATAGTTTTCCTGTAAACCTTTCACTCTGATTAAAACAATGTTGGTCTTTTTTTCCTTATAACCTTGGTCTCTCTAAAGATTTTAAAGTATTAGCTGGTTTATTAAAGCCCCTAAAAACATGCATTACAAATTGTTTAGTACTTCTTTTAGTAGGATTAAAACAACAAAGCTAAAGTTTGGGGGCGGGGGGGATTTTCTGTTGGTATTATTTCTAATCTGCTTATTCAGCAGCCAAAAGTGAAGACATTAGCGTCAATTGATTTCATGTTTCTAACTCAGAAACACATATTCTTCTAAATAATAATAAAACAAAAAAGTAATAAATTAACAAATAAGTAGTTTAAGTTGAATATATGGTTTTCCCATTAAATCTCTTGTTTTCTTAATGTGTGTTAGAGTTTATAATGGAACAGTGACTTCCTGTTTACATAGTCGATTGCCTTTGATTGGACAGAAATTACATGTCCTTATGCTGTAATTGTGCAACCAGATTTAGTGGAGTAAGAATTATAACTTTGTGATGAATTGAAGACTAGCTTGTGCCACTAAATCTGGGACTCTCTCTGTGTGGTTTGACCTGATTTGATTGACAGCAAAAAACGGTCAGCTTTTCGTTTTAAATGTTGTTAAATCCTGCTTGCTCTTGAACGTACAAAACATTCAATTGTTCTATAACTGCTCCATATTTGGCAGTAAGTAGTGTGTGTTTGTTGTGTCCCATCACTCATAGTAGCTGTATGAGAGAATGTGCTTTAATGGCCTTCAATACGTTACAAATAGGTCATGGTGACAACACTGCTTCTACATATTTTTCTACATGTTTTGCATACAGCTAACTGTTGGTGTGCTCATTATTAATTTAGGACGAGCACATTGCAAGGGATTATGCTGGCATGGATATCGAGGGGTATTTATTCATACCCAGAGAGCAATGTGTTTCTTTTAAGAACAAGCAGTAGCTTGCAGTATCTTCATTAGTGATTGATGGATCACCGTGTGCTAACACACCTAGCAGCAAATTCTCTCCATAAAATCAGATGAGAGTTTCTCCTCTCTCCGCGGCTCCAATACTTCTCTGGCATTTCCTGGAGCGCGGAGAGTCTGGCTGAGAAGAATAGATGGTGTGCATTATAATGAACATGGGGTGACACCGCCTCATCCATCATTCCACCCAGGAAAATTATAGCAGTGCCAGAGAGAGAGTGGCAGAGAGAGAGACTTTAAATCACAGGACGTCTGTAGGTCTAACTCTTCTTAGACTGTCATCCACTCATTGTTGTGTTTTTTAACTGGCACGTCCTTCTGATTTTGCTATCAGACCATTTGCCTGTCAGTTTAATGTATAGCCACTGTTACTCTCTAAATATGGCTTTGTTACCTAGTTTCTATTTATATGCTTGTTTGATGTCTATCTACTTTCATTTCCTGTTATAAGGTCTGCTGCTAGCAATTATTGTAATTATCAAATAGTCCGTTGTTCCTTTCTTTGCAATTGATTAACCTATGAAATGCCAGAACATGGAGACAAAGTGTTCAAGAGGCATTTTCTTTCAAATGCACAATGATATATATATAAAAAAAGAAGCAAATGTTGATGTTTAGAAAGCTGAAACTAATGCATGCTTGGCAACTGTGAGAAACCTTGCATTCCAAATGATGGCTGAATTGTTATGCAAAAACTTAAGGCAGGGGTTCCCAAACCTTTCAGCCCGCGACCCCCAAAATAAATTAGAATATATTCTACAGATGGCCAGTCCACTCCTGAAAAATGTCTATGCACACGTTATTATTAATAAAAAATTGAAAAAAAAAATTGATTAATACATTTAAAAAAATATCTTTTAATTAATTTTCATTTTGTATTTGTAATCATCTCTCGACCCCCAGTCGGGGTCTCACGACCCCCACTTTGGGAACCCTTGCCTTAAGGCACAGTCCATTGTTAGCAGTGGCAGATAGATTTAGATAGACTTATTCTATAGCTATCGATGGCAATGTCAGTCAGTCGGTCAGTTAGTTGCACCACTTTGGCTCAGACTGAAATAACTCTACAACTATTGGATGGCTTGCCATAACATTTAGCA